ACGGAGATGGTGGTGAGGCTTCATCTACGGCTAGCGGTTTGCATTTTGTAACCAGCAGTAACCTCTATTTATCAAGGACTTGTAGCGATGGCCGAGGGTTTTACAACGGCGATTGGTGGTTTGTAACATGCTGCGATAGCAGCAATTGACACTTGAAACTTGGAAGTGGCAATTTGCTCCTTAGCCAGAGTTGCACTAGCAATCACTGACGACCAAACTAGAGTCCGCCAATGACGATTTTTTTGAGCTTCGCACCATCACAACACCACTACCTGCAGTGAAACCGTGAAGGTATAAAATGCTTACAAGAGTTTAACACCTATAGTTTAATTGATTCTTTGAATTTTTTGCTTAATTCTTTCTTAATTAATCTTGCTTAATTATTTTTTTTGTTGAATTTTTTGCTTAATTAGTTATAGAGAGTCACATACTCACATTTGCTTTATTAATTTTTTTTTTCAAAAGGTCGATTGCATTTGCTATGAATAAAAGCAACTTGTTTAGAGTAGAGAAGTTTGATATTCAAAAGGCTCAAAGGTACTTGAGTTTTTCCCTTCTTTTCTAAAGTATGACAAATTATAATGGCATGAATGTTTAGGAAAACATTGTTTGAAGTTTAGTTAACTCTATATTTATATGAACTAGATAAGAAAGTTGTGTGAACTTTAGGAAACATTATAAATTTAGTGAACTCTATGTTTATATGAACTAGATAAGCAAATTGTTTGAACTTTAGAAAAACATTGTAAGTTTAGTGAACTTTATGTTTATATGAACTGAAATTGTTGTGTTTTTTCTGTATTTTTCTTTTTTTTGTAGTTTTATAATTTTTTTGGATTTTTTTTTGTATTTTCTGCAAACATATGACTGAACACATGTCACTAAAACATCATACTTTTTGTTTTTTTTCTGTATTTTCTGTGTTTTTTTTTCTATTTTTTACAATTTTATGTGTTTTTTCTGTAGTTTTTTTGTTTCTTTTGCACATGTATGAGTATGACTACACACATCCTAATTTATGCTTATTTTTTTGAATTTTTTGTGTTTTTTCTGTATTTTTTTGTATTTTCTATGTGTTATGTACTTTATTATTTTTGTATTTATATAGTTTTATTTTCAGTAGTTTTCTGTATTTTTTGAATCTTTTTGTGTTTTTTTCTGTATCTTTCGAATTTTTCTATACTTCTTTGTATTTTCTATGTGCTCTGTACTTTATTATTTTTGTATTTAGATAGTCTTATTTTCTGTATTTTTTATATTTTATTTAACTTTATGCTATTTTTTGTTATTTATAAATATATTTTTTTATTTTTAATTGATTTATCATGTCATATGACGAACCGCTCAATCCAGATGGTTGAACCACCGAACTGGAAAACGGATCCCTGACCGAATTTGTTTTTGGGTCGTTTTTAAAAAACTTAGAGATATGTGGTGTCAAACGATGTTGGTAGGGTGTTGAACATGTTTTATTGGCAAGTGATCCGGACTCTTTCGAGCTGGAGCTTGTGAAACCATAATTGGAGATCTCAACAGACATCACTTTCTGAAATGAGTTGAAATTATCTGTTCAGACAGTGTTAGAAAACAAAGTCGGTGTTTGGGTGGAGGAATTGATTTGTCAATTCTGATATATAAATGTTATTTTACTGCATATAAACCAATAATTCTTCAAATGTGAAAATTTTTTCATTTGATAAGACTGATTCCTCAGAAATTGATTTGCCATTTGTCTGGACTTTCACGATTCGGGATGATGCGGAATTGATTTCTGACATGACAAATTCTATGCAGGTAACTTATTTGTGTATAAGCTTACATTTTCATTTTAATATGTCCAATTAGAAATTTAATTAGGCTGGCTTCTTCGCTTCATACCAATTACGCATTAATAAACTAATGGCTATAAGCTTTCAATAGCAGTCTTAGATCTTGAGAGCAATAGATAATAAGGGTTTTAGCCCGTCTTTGGGAGTGATTTCTTTTAATTATTATTTATTGAGATAAGCTCTTAAAAGATTCTAAAAGCAGCCAAATAAGTTGAAATGGGCATTTGGTAAAAAAAAAGAAAAAAAAAACGTCCCTAAAAGCGCTTTTTCACCTAAAAAGCCCATTTAGAAAAAGCAGAAAAAAGAAAAAAAGGATTTATTACCTGTTTCGTTTTGCAGAAGTGTTTTTTATAAAGAAAAAAAAAAAACCCATTTAAAACGCCATTCAGGAGCTGCTTATTTGAAAAACCTATTTAGAATAAGCACTCCCAAAGACTACCTTAATTCCCGAACCAACCCCACAGGAAAGAGTCAAGCTTAAATCAACCAAAGCAGCTTAGGTGGTGTTTGGACCAATGATGATTTTTCAGAAATTGGTGCCACATCATTGATTCCAAAATTGCCAATTATTTTGCTATTTGGTTGGCAGGTTTATGAGAAATTGATAAATCGGCCAAAAATCGATTATTAAAATCAGACTGAAAAATGTCATGAATCATGATAGGCCGATTCCCATTACTTTTGGATGATGTAGCATGTGATGTGGATAGCGGAAATATTTCTCATAACCACAAAAATCATTATTAATAATCACTATCAAACAAGTTCATAATTGATTTCTACAAAATTGACTGATATGAGGGGTGAGCATGGGTTGATTCTGTTCGGTTCCATGGGAGAACCTGGAACCTACCCTGTTTTAGTCGGTTTCAGGTTTTTGGAACCAGAACCTACCCTATGGAATCTTTTTTTTTTTTAACTCTCCCCCTATAAAAAAAAGAAAAAAGAAAAGAAAAGAAACACGTCCTTTAAAAACTTGATTTTCAATATTGATAATATATAGTTTAAAACTTATATTATCTTTATTGATTAAATTGAACAATTTAATGTGTAGATTATCATAATATATTAATATATGGTTCAAATTTGTCATTATAATTTAAATTTTGTAAATATTACCTTTTACATTATTTATTATACACATTCAAATATTAAAATAAAAACAAATGACCAAATCACTTAAGTAACTCAATGGTCAAGTGAGACCAAGGCTTTTGTAACTAGGGGTGTAAACGAATCAAATTCAAATTGAATCAAGCAATACTCGAGTTTGAATCTGATTGAAAAATTCAATATCTGAATTTGATTCGATTCGAATTCAACCAATTAATTATTTTAGGTAATTAAAAATTATATAAGATAAATATTTTATTTATATAAAGTACATAAATATATAAATTATTTATATAATTTAATTATTATATTTATATATATCAACTATATAAAACATTTAAATATTTTATATATTATATATAAGAATTAAATAATCGACCGAATTCGGATATTTATCGAATCGAATCAAGTCACATTCGAATTCGATTCGATTAAATATCGAATCTCAAATTTGAAATTGGATTTTCAAGTATTGTTGACACCCCTATTTGTAACCATAAGTGCTTGGGTTCAAATCTTCATATCCTTAAAAATATTTTGGGGTTTATTTCAAGGCAAGCTCGGTTCCAAGGCTAGTTCCACCAAGGCTAACCAATGCCGATTTCATCAGGTCGATTCGAGTAGGGTAAACCCTTAAACCCTGGAACCAACTTGGGTGGGGTTAGTTCGAAGAATTTGAAACCATACCCTGCCCTATAATAGATTGGGTAGAGTCAATTCAAGGCTGATTCAAAATCGGTTTCATTTGGTTATGTGTTGAACCTAGGGGTGGATTTGAGCTGAACCGAGTCGAATACTTGGCCATTCGAGCTCAGCTTGTGGGAATAGTATTAGGCTCAAGCTCGAGCTCGATTCGAGCTAGAGACTTGAGCTCGAGCTTGACTTGGTTCATAGCTCGCAAACTCGAGCTCGAGCTCGAGCTCGATTCGAGTTAGAGACTTGAGATCAAGCTTGACTCGGTTCATAGCTCGCAAGTTCGAGCTCGACTCGGCCAATTTTTTTTTGAAAAATAAAAGTTATATGTATAAAATTATTTTTTTTATTTTTTAGACAAAAAATTAAGAATTATAAAATTATTTACTTTTATACATAAAAATAAAAAAAATATAATAAAAATGATTATAAAAATATATAATATTATATATCAAAAAATAATTATAAAAATTATTTACTGTTATACATATATATGTATGTATGTATCTATATATAATACAAATGATTTATTTAATACTAGGCTCACGAGCCTCACGAGCTGAGATTCGTTGAGTCAAGCTTAGTTGGGCTCGAACTCGACTTGATTAACAAACGAGCCTTATATATTGGGCTCAAATTCGATTCGAAACTTGATTTAAGTGTTTGAGAAATTAGTGATCTCCAAAATCAATAATTTTTTAAAAAATTTCATCAAATAAATCAACATTCGTCCAAAACATTCCTTAATTGCTCATTTGATTGAATTATTGATTGAGAAAAAGGTCAAACATTGAAACTTGCGCTAAAGATTATGGGAATGTGAAAAAGATGGAGACACGGGGGCAGGTCCGTCAATAAATTAATACTATTGGATACGGTATAAATACACGAATGCAGGTAGAGTACGTCATATCTGCTCAGTCTCTCAGACGTGTGTATATACACGCTACGAAACAGTGATTCAGTGAAACACCGATCCGTAACGCATCTCTGATAGCGATGGTTCCATCCTCCTTTTAAATTCGTTCCTTCTTCTCTGACTTCGGGAAGGTGGGTTCCCCACTACCTGCCCCCCACCCCTGTCACAACTAAACCCGAGGGCGGGCCCACGGAATGTACCAATTGTATTTGGTCCGTATGCAATGCGTATATGTTTCCCACTCCCAAACACCCCCTAGAAATGGATCCGTACAATATTTTGCGAGATTGCTTCCGTCTCACCAGTGAAAAGTGGGGAGCATTGTTGTAGAGCAAGATGGATTCATTAGGAGAAACACAGAAACAGCTGCAACAGTGGGAGCATAAAAGTATCCGGCCATGGAGATACGGTTAAGGTACGGCTGTTGGCTTCCTTTCTTTTGTTTTTTATTTATTTATTTTTCTGTTTCCTTTTCTTCTCATGCTTGATTTACTGTTATTCTTCTGGTTTTTCACCTTTCAAGTGGAGAGGCTTCTGTTATTTTAGTGGATTCGTGATTGTTATGATTCGATTTTCTCTGATTCATGGGTTTTTTCTTCTTTTTTTTAATCCTGTTTTTTCCTTGTTCAATTGGGTAATTTGTTTATTGGGTCTTTAGTTTTTTTGTAATTTATTTGTTTATGTATGAGTTTTTCCTTCAAGGTGTTGACGTGAAGTATTTGACTTCGAAGCTAATTAGTTTTGTTGTTCGATCTAGAATGCGATTAGGGTTTCTGATAGTGCTGGTGATGAATATCTAGGATTCTGAGAGCCTCTCTTTTTTTTTTTATGGTTTTCCGATGAGTTCTGATGATAGTAGCGATCGAAGCATGGCCAGAGTGATATGTCTGTTGATGGTTTTGGGTGCTTTGAAGGGATTCTGAGTTTTGTTGGAGATTGGAATTGCTTTTCTGGGTTGTCTGCGTATGGTTTTTGATCGACTTGGAGGAATTTGGCGCATGGAGTTGGATTTTGTTCGTAAGGTCTTTTGAAGAATCCTGCACTGATCTTAGAAGAAGAACGAGAACGGGGGATTATCGGGGACTTGATTTGGGTTGGGGTGATCAAAGATGGAGGAAGAGGTTACCTCCTGGGTAAGGAGGGCGAAATTCTCTAACACAATTTATCACAGGTTGGATTCTCTGAAAGTTCCCCCTCTTCAATTCTCCATTCAGCCTGATCGTGTGTCTGGATTGAAGTCAAGGCCTCCACCAGCTCCTGTTAATTCTAAATCAGGATCTCTGGACAAGCAATTTCAGAAAATTCCTAATATCACCAAACAGAGGTCTATATCTCCCCTTCCTAAGACTGCTCTCTCGGATGAGTTTAAGGAAGCTTGGTCTGATCAGAAGAGATTCTCCACTCCTGGTCCTCGAAAGAGAGAACTCGAGAAGGGGGTTTCTGGGCAAGTTTCTAACAAATATTCCCAGGATACTCGGGTATCCGATTCTCTAAAATCCTCGATTCCAATACCTCTGAAGCACTTTTCTTCCAAGAAGCATTCTGAGAAATTGAAAAGCAGAAAGGAATCATCATGGACAAAGTACTTTGATCATGGAGGGGGAAGGGTCACAGCAGTGGACACAGCAGATGAATGGACAGTTGATCTCTCCAAGTTGTTCATTGGGTTTAGGTTTGCCAGTGGGGCGCACAGTAAACTTTACCATGGAATATACAAGGATCAACATGTTGCAGTGAAAATTATCACACAACCCGATGATGACGAAAACGGAATAATGGCGGCTCGACTGGAAAAGGAGTTCAGTAGAGAAGTTACTCTCTTATCTCATCTTCACCATCAAAATGTAATAAAGGTAATACTGCCTTTTCTTCTGATCATTGCATTGTTTGATTAGTTTAATAGTCTCTTGTTATATTATAGACAATAACATCCATTTTCGATTTGTTGTTAGGTTCTTTTATACATTTCATGCTCATGCTTGGATTGTCTGCAACCCTTGGGCCTTGGTTGGTCCAGCATTGACATTGCTAAAATGGAAAACTAGTTGTTCTGTATCATCATCATCAACTTGTTTTGGAGTCAGAAAATTATGAGTTTCAGATTTTGCTTTGTTTATCTCAAATATCAGTTTGTTCCATATAGATTTTATTGTGCAACATATGTTTGTATCGTGTCTCTTACTATCTTAAGAAGGAATTTTAGGAGTCATCTTTTAGATTATATTGCAATTATTGACTTCTTTAATTGATTCTGGTTTTTCTTTTCTTTACATATGCTTTCCAGTGGCAGAGAAGAATGACAAATTTAACAAATTAGTTCATTCTTCTTGCTCCTCCTCATCAAGATTTCTTATCTTAAAATGCAGTTGGTTGCTGCATGTAGACAACCACCAGTCTTGTTTATCATTACGGAGTATCTTTCAGGGGGTTCCTTGAGAACATTCTTACACAAACTAGACCATAAACCTCTTCCCTTAGAGAAGCTGATTTCAACTGCTCTGGACATCGCCCGCGGGATGGAATATGTTCATTCTCAAGGTGTCATTCATCGTGACCTTAAACCTGAGAATATTCTCTTTGATCAGGACTTCCACATTAAGATTGCTGATTTTGGAATAGCATGTGAGGAGGCTTATTGTTATTCTTTAGCTGAGGACCCAGGGACTTATCGTTGGATGGCACCTGAAGTGATCAAACAAAAGCCTTATGGACGGAAAGTTGATGTATACAGCTTTGGACTCATCATATGGGAAATGGTAGCTGGAACAATCCCTTATGAGGATATGAATCCCATCCAAGCAGCTTTTGCGGTTGTAAACAAGGTACACTTTTCAGTAGTGGTTTTCTCTTTCTCTGCCTTAGAAGCTAATATAGAACCCACTTGGGGACAAGCTGGTGGGGGCTCCTATCTGCACCCACATAAAGTTATAGAGACTCCACATTCAAACATGCAGATGCCACAGTTTTTTCTTTCAGGACATGTCTCCCCCACAATTCTGGACAGTTTTTTCCCCCTTTG